AGTTTGTGTCCTGCTCAGAGAGACGAGGCGGCGGTGTCTCTCTGAAGATGGAATAAGGTCCTCCCTGCCTAGTCCCCGTCCCAGTGGTGTTTCTAGTATCGTCGGAGTCGTGCGGAGGTATGTCTCGGGCGGATCTCATGGGATTCGGTCGGCGTTTGTCTTTGCTGGATCCATGTTGGATCATATCTTCGTTCGTCTGTGCTTGTGTGTGTACAGGTTGGATCTTTTCGATCCACACTTCTCTTCATCGGTAGTGGTTGCTGTTCTGGTGTGCTAATCCTATGGCGCCTTAGCAAGACGACTTCTCGACTATCTAGTACAACAAGGTTTGCCCGGCTTCGATGAGGGAGGGGGGAAGACGGTGGCGCATCTTCGGCTCGCTCAAGTGCTACTAGTCGTTGTTAATTTGTCTACGGACCTAGATGTATTTTCTTTGTACTGCCTTGGTAGTTGACGAATAGATCAGAATTTATGTTTGCAAAATAATAATAATAACAATAATGATGATGATGATGATCATCATCATCACATGGCAGATCAGCAGTTAGTTCGTACAATCTCTGGAAGTCAACCCATCACATACATGGTGCGCATGATCACCACGAATTAGACACCCCATAATTATAGGTGATTAGATAACAGCTAGTACTTGGCCAAGCTGGCGAACTAGAGGTTGCAATGTTCTTGTTCTTTGCGTTGAATTTTCTGCCTATAAAAGTTCATCTCGTTCATTCATACGGACATCACTACTACATATCAAACATCCCCAGTATTAACCCTTGTAGCTAGCCTCATCCTCGTCAAGGCACACATCCTCAATGGCTGCCGCCTCCGCACTCAAGACGGCCGCCGTCGTTGCCATCTGCATCGCCATGTTGCTGGTCCAGACCACCTTGGGGGTGGGGTACCTAACGGCGCAGGCCCCTGCCGGCGGTGGCTTGGCATGCCCTGATACCCAGACCACCTGCGGGGCGAATTGCTTAGTACGCTGTGAGAGCATGTCGCAGGACATCTGCAAGGTTGTCTGTACCACCTCGCCGTTTCCGGTGGTGGATCAAACCTGCGTCGGTAGGTTGTTCAGCGCCTGCGTGAGCATCTGCAAGACCGCGTGCGAGAACCTCCCGAGCTCCTAATCTGCTAGCTAAGTTGTGCATCGTGCACGCTTAATCCCAGAACTGCTTCTATCATCAATCTACCTTTTATTTTGTAAAACCCGTTATGATCGCGGTACTTGTGGTCGTTTTTACTTCCAAATGTGTCGTGCAGTGTACTTTGACAGTTATTTTTCCCCATTCTTTCCTGAGTTGTGAACACATTAATTATGATTATGACACGTTGCTAGAAGTTTGTACTTTTTGAGATTGAGTTGCTGGCTAAAGGCTTTGTCTCATATATTCCTCCGGGGAGTTGTGGTGGAGTTCTGGTTCCATGCCACCCCTTATCTTTGATTGGTGTTTCTCTTTTTGGGTCCCCGATCTCTGATCAGTTCGCGTTGCCCGCCGCCGCCCATCGATCCGCATGCGCCTCTACTCTGACTTCGGCATCGACATCACCGGCCTCTTCTCAGACTCGACGGCCTCACCGTCTGCGCATCCGTCAGCTTGTCGTTCTTAGCTCATGGTAACTTGCAAAACATTTTTTATGTTGTAGCAAATGCAGATTCACGGTAACAACTATGATGAGACAATACACGCTCTGCGTTCAAAAGCGGCTCAAGGATAGGTTTGCGCAGCTGAAGGAGTGCAGATACCACGAAATCAGAGCATGTGGCACACCGATGTCATGAACTTCATGTTACAGAACTGGCCTGAGCCTTCTCTCCAGTTATCCAGCTTCCGACGGCGGACTGATACACACGTGGTTTCTATCAGCTTGATGATTTATCGCTGAAACTTGTGCACATACGTACCCTCTTTCTACTAGTTACTATCTGTGGTCTGTGGATATACGCCTTTGCTCTGCCCATTTCGCCGGAAACTTGCATGAATGCAACGTATACGGTGCTATCTTGCTGTACAAATTCATATATACCTGAGCATTTTGTTGTATTCCGCAATGGTTAATTAGTTGCTTGATGTGTCGACATGGTCGACAGTTGGATGCATGTCGCGCCTGCATATGCCAGTAGCCAACATATGCAGCGGACTGAACAAATGCTGGTTCAGAGTTGCACCTGAACTGAACCTGCTGCACCCTGCGTGGCGAGCTGGGCCATGGGCCTTGTAGCGTGCGTGTGTTGAAAGTGGCTGGCCCAGGGTGCCAGCTACATATTGTACCCAGACCGGAATGATTGGGCAGGAAGGAAAAGATCTGAAACCAGAGTTCAGCATATTCTTGATGGTTATGAGTCAAAGTATTACTAGATTTTTTTTGAGACAATCAAAGTATTACTAGATGTGGATATATAGGATTTGTGGTTACACGTTTGGCCATCATGTTATGGGCCTGGGTCAGTCACGCTGCTTTATTCCTTTTCATACTATTATTAGACTTCCTTCAAAAAAAAAAACTATTGTCTTCTCACAAAAAAAGATCAGACGGAATTGTAGAGAGCCCTAAAAAAATAAGACGGGGTAGTAGAGGAGGCCAGAAGGGGTTTACGTTGTCGCTTGGATGGAACTGCGATCGGGGCGTCGTCTCAGGCGCTCGCCGCCGCCGCCGCCGCCGCATGGAGCTCCCTCCAGGCGTGGTTTAGGCGGAGGAACCGACCTCATCAGCGCCCTCCCCGACGAGATGCTTCTCCTAGTCCTTGTACGCCTACGTTGCGTCCGTGCCGCCGTGCAGACCGGCCTCCTCTCGCGTCGGTGGCGTGATCTCTGGACCGGTCTCACCGATCTCACCTTCCGCTACCTCGACCCCGCCACGATCAAAGCAGTGCTGGCTCGCTTCGCTGCATCTTCAACACCGGTGTCCACGCTCGGCATCCACCTTCAAACGAGAGAGACCTCCTACCACGCCAACTTGCTGCTATGCGCCGCCGCACTGCTCTCGCCGAGGGAGCTGGTCTTCACCCTCTCGTCGTCATACATGGGAGACCTGGACGACAGGATCGAGCTGCCATGTTTCAACTGCACCACCTCGATCAAACTGGACACGGAACGATTCGGTGTCCGTGTGGCGGACGGCGAGTTCAACTCGCTCGAGAGGTTGTCCCTATCCGGCAACAACAACGCCTTTAGCGCCTTGCTAGACCGGTGCCACGTGCTGCGCGAGCTCAGCATTACCGGTTTCGATTCGCGGCAGCTATCGCTACCTCCGACGGCGGAGTTCCTCTCGCTCGAGAAGCTGTCGCTCACCGGCAACATCGTCAACATTGGTACCATGCTCACACGGTGTCCGCGTCTGCGTGTGCTCAGTGCCACCTTTCGCGGTGTCGAGCCTTGCTCGATCGAGGCGGCACTCCTCGCACTCGAAGGGGCAGTGGCACTCGGCCTCGTTGTGTCCCTCCTTGGTATCCACATTGATAGAGGTGGATACAATGTCGACGCCAATCGATTCTCCTCTCTTCTCCGCGCGGCAACGAGACTATCGCCACAAGAGGTCGTCGTCACTCACGAGATATACGGACACGTCACTATCGACCTGCCATGCTTTCATCGTGCAACTTCAATCATGATGGACTTGCACTACAACATATCCTTCACAGTGCAACCGACCAGCGAGTTCTCTGCGCTCGAGATGTTATCCCTATCAGGAAAATGCAGGGTCTTGGACATTGGCACCTTGGTCACCTGTTGCCCACGCCTCCGCACGCTAAAGGCAACTGTAGCAGGAAACATCATAGTCCACTCGACATTGCTACATGAGCTTGATATTGATAGAGATATTGACACGGAGTGTCGTGGCATCGACATAGTAACTCCCATGCTTAAGCAACTGCAGCTAAAGGTTCGTGCCGGTGGAGACATTGGCATGTCCATCTTGGCGCCAGCAGTAGAGAAGGTCTTGTGGGAGCGATGGTATACAGGGTTGCCTCTTATTTTTGGTTGTTGGTCGCTCAAGAGGATGAGCGTAGAGACGATACAGAGAAGCCATGTAGACAGCTGGGGAGACTCGTGTTCTCAAATGCAGCAGCTTCCACGCTTTCATGTCCTATGCTTGCAGCTATATTCCGGTGTACGTCTCTTGTCTCTTCCTGATCAATGCACTATTGGATGTACGAATATGAGCTGTATGCATCGCTCTGATGCAGAGGCTGGGGTACATCCCCTTTTCCAAAGAAAAAATGCATGATATTCTGACCCCCTCCCAACCTGTATCACAGGATCATTTGGATGCACAGCTGAATTTTGCATCAGAGATGGAGAAACTACCGGTTACGAACTTCTCTGTGTTGGAGCTAAATTTTGAATTAGATTCACATGGTTACGGAGCACTTGTGCTGCATCTGCTTCGAATGGGTCGAATTCGTGCCACTATAAAAAGGCTGAAGGTCGTCTTACCATCTTGGCCCAAGGTATTTCTCTACCATGCTTATAGATCTTACATACACAGTTCATGCTCAATACATTTTCTATAGGCAATTTTGATATAAGGTCTCAACGACGAAGCTGGCACGTGTACATAATGCATTGGCATGCTCATCATTTTCTTTAGGGGGGACGCCAAGCATGCCTAGGAAATTGTTCTTGTGATATGCCAAAGAACTGGAGCTGCCAAAGTGCCTTCTACACACGTCTTGAAGAGGTGGAGATCCATAACTTTGGTGGAAAGGATATGGAGTATGATTTCTTAAAACTGATATTCAAATGCTCGCCAAGGCTTAAAAGAATGACCGTCAGATTGGCATGGAAATTTAGAGGCTGCACCACAATATTGCACAACATTTTCTTGGCACATCCTTCAGTGAATTGCTATGGTGATTTTAGCTACGGTGAACTGGTTTCTCGTGCATCTAGTTAGCATGCTCCCTGATGCCACAAAATTGAATGACATAGATGTACCATTGTTTGTTAATTCTTACATTTAATTACCTATTGTCGTCAGAAATAACGAAACTTAAACTGCTACGGTCACTTTGAACATGTTACCCAGAAGTATTCAGTAGTTGAGATATATATAATGTTCTTGTTACTATCTTTCATTAAATTTAAACATGACATTTTCAAGAGAATTACATTTAGTGGTTGCACCACACACTACTGCAGGAATCTCTAGCAGTGACGGGCATTGGGCTCAGGCAGGCCCGCCACTAATCTCTCGTCACTAGTAACATGCCACCGGTGGTGGGCCTCCCACCAGGCCCGCAATTGGTGACCTGTTATCAGTGGCAGGATAACAAATTGCCCGCCACTGCATAACTTGCTACCCGCCACTAGTAAATGATGCACCAGTGGTGGACCCTAGGTTCTGCCCATCAGTGCTAGCAATTTTTATGATTTAAAATAAATGCATGTATTGTACTGTGTGATGTAGACCGTACATGTGATGTACACACTGAAAAAAATAGTGCGCTATAGCGCCATTAATAGGGTGTAAAGAATTGTCTCGCTATATAAATCCGTGTACAATGTCTCGTCAATAGCACGTTAATAGCGTATTTTAAGGGGTGACGCTATTTTGTATATCGTGCTATTTTTTTCCTTAGATGTACACAATGCAGTTCTAATTATATTGTTCACACGTATACACATAGCATATACTAATTAAAGTTTGTTCATACATCACCGATTTACACATTTACATAGGCTGACAAAGGAGCGCAACACCTACCATGCCAACTCTGCTACACCGCTGCCAGATGCTGCGCGAGTTCAGCTTTACAAACCTGGATTTGCGGCAGCTATCGCTGCCTCCGACAGCCGAGATAGCCGAGTTCCTCGCGGTGCGCACTGCCGCCTTTAGCGGTGTTGAGCCCTGCTTGATTGAAGCGGCACTCCACTTGCTGGAATGGGCGGTGGCACTCGGCCTCGTCGTGTCCTTCCTTGGTATCAACATTGATAGAGGTGGATACAATGTCGAAGCCAATCGATTCACCTCCCTTCTGGGCGCGGCGGTGAGACTATCGTCACAAGCTCTGTTTTGGATACCGCTCGAAATTTCGTTATCCCGAGCGGTTACCGCTACCCCATGGAAAACACTCGTACCGAGCAAAAAAATCGAGTTTTTTTTGAAATTTGAATTCAAACGATCA